CCCCCCCCCCCCCCCCCCCCCCCCCCCGGGAAAACAAGCGGCGGCTCTCTGTCGTGAGGTTCCAATCAAACTTGATTCGTCCGTCCCGAGGTGTCTTGTGACAATTTCCATTACATCCCGCTCCGTTTAGGCCCAGATGATTATGAGAGGCTTTCTTCTTGTTGTGGCCCTTTGCCGGGGGCTTCGCGGCAGAACACGGTCACACTTATTCCATCGGCATGAAGCCACAGGTGGACACCCGCGATGGAACCAAGAAAGAAGAAACACCCTTACAATACCCTCTTTCCTCGCAGCTCCATCTCCGCTAAGAGTTGCACTTTCGGGTTCATGCACGCAGTGTTGTTTCGCGCCCAACCGCCGCTCAAGCTACTAACACCCACACTACTAAGCTAGTCAGAGAGCGGCATCCCCTTTTTTCACCGCTCAAAGCGAGAAACAAAATCTGGTCTTGTTGCTATTCCTCTAGGAGACCGTTACGGTCTCTAGAGGTCTCACAGAACCGTAAAAAGACTGTGAACGAATGAATGAATGAATGATCACGTTCACTCCGAAGCTCCGAACCACGCACTTTTCTGACCTGAATGCCCGAGGCGCGAGGAATCAGACCATCGGCCGTCCTGCACTACTTTGGACGCCCTCAGCATGTTTCAGCTTGATGGGCGCCTCCTGCGATTATATTTGGCTGTGTCGGTGATCGGTCTTCTTAAGCACGAAACACGAGCATGCAGCAGGTGCTTCCGGCACCAAATTGCTCCGGTCTCGACGAATTTGCACCTAAACTTTGCCTACCCGCCATCAAATTGAAGCCTCGTTCAATCTACAACAGGATGCACACCCCGTTCGACGCTGGAATGACTGTGTGTCTACCTATTTAGCCTGCCAACAAGAGGTTCGGGCCACACCGCTGCAACTTCCGAAGCAAGAGTATGTTCCGCCGCATTTCCCATGCACACTTGACAACTTGATGATTGATGGCTTGTTTTTGCTCGTCGGAACACAGCCATCCATTCGTGCATCCTCCATTGTTGTACAATAACGCCAACGTGTGTATTAGTTCCCTACCTGCCATTTCCACTCTAAAACGGGATTTGCCAGGGATTAGCCCGCCAACGAGAGGTTAGGGGCAGCCTCCTCTGTCACCTGTCACCTGCACCTCGGAGTGTGCTTATTCCGCTGCGTTTGATTTACATTTATTTTGTTCTTGTTTTACGCGCGCGCGCAGTATAGAATATGTTTGTCGACCTTATTCCACCGCGTGTGGCGGATACAGTAGTTCTTCGTTCTTGTATTTGCGAGCGCGCGCATATACATGTTTGTCGGCGACCACCCGATCCAATCAATGCAGCGGATTGACAATGAGAGCTGTAGATGTTGATACCAATGCCACGAAGGTCGGGGACAAATAAGTAAAGTTGTGTTGCCTTGGTTGTGGGTGGTTGCCCGGCTGTGCCATGTTTGACACCCGCTTAACTTCGGATTTACCAGATTATTATCCACCTCCTTCTCGCACCTGCAGCACCTCAGACCACCCAAAAAAAAGCTCCTAGAGGACCAGCACGGTTGCCCGAGGCAAGCTGCGATACCAATGCCCCAAATGGGACATCGGAAAAAATACCTGTCTACCGCGTTGTTAAGGTGGTACACAAGCCTAACAAAGAACATGTCAAACAAGCTTCATTACGAACTGTCTCGTTTGCAAGTGCTACCACGAGCTGAGCGCACGGCGACACAGCACAAGGTCTAAGCCTAATTCTAGTTTTACACCCCCTTCTCCCAGGGACAGCGTCGACAAGCTCTCCACGCACACCCACATGGCAGGAGCCTTCCGACGTGTCGTACACCGTCCCTCTGCGACAGCTTCCCAGAAAACAGTTTAGGCGTGTAGTCAACAGCACAGCAGTCGTCACTCGAGACAATAAAAAAGTACAACACCGTTAAACAAGGCAAGAAGGAAAAACTTGTGTGAATTTAATTAGTTCGTGATGTACAAGCCACACAGCGGTCCAGGTCACGGCGCAAGTAAATATGCACGTGTGTTGCCCACAACGATAGTGTCTTAAGAAGGAGCGTGTTCGTGGAACACCATTTCTCCGCACACCGCGGCCAACGCCAACAGGGCGCCGAACGTCCCGTGTCCCTCGCGCGCCCACGCCCCCGCCGCGAAGCAAATGCCGCAAGACAAGCCCCTCCACCACGTGCGAATCGCCCGTTCCCTTAGCGACGGCCCTCGAACGCGTTTCGTTGTCTCAGCGACAGCAGAAGCAGCAGTACCAGTGCCGCCACCATCACCGCAACTACCGGCCTCAGCGCCTACAACTCCAGGTCGAACTACTACTGTGCTGCTCGGCGCCCAAGGAACAAAATCGCCATCAGGGTCGCCAAGGTGAGGACCCTTGTCGTTACCAAGTCGAGGACCCTTGTCGTCAGCACCGCCCACACGCTCGTGGAACTGCGGTGTCGGCGGCGCTACGCTGCGGCGTACAGCCCCCATATCCGCCTGCCGTGGCCGCCGGAGCGGAGCGTCTTGCTTTCTCGCATCGCTTTCCGGCTTGTCGGCGAGTCGGTCGGCCGTCGAAGTCGTCCCCGAACACCGGTGAGAGTGGAGCGCGGGTGTTGTTGTTGTTGTGATTGTCACCTCGGGCTGCCAGGATTGCGACGCCGTGCGCGATCGCGATGGTCGTGATTGTGACGATTGCGACGACCCGGGCACGTACAGGAACCGCTCGTGCTCATGCTGGTGATGCTGCTGCTGGGGTTGTGGCTGCTGGTGACGCTGTGGCTGCTTCTCTCTTCGATTCGTATGGTGCTGATGCAGGGGTTCGGGCTGATGCACGTGGTTGTTCTCATGCCGGCGGGCTTGTTCATTGAGCTGGGCAGCGCTGGAAGAGAAGACTCGGTCTGATGGTCGCGCCCTCAGACTTCGTAGAATGCTTCCCAGGCGGTCCAAGTGCTGATCCTGGTGGTGCGGAAGGGTCAGAGTATATCCAAAAGGTAGTTGGGGTGTTGAAGCTGGTGTACAGATGGACTGCAGTCCTCCTAATGATCGGTGTGAGGCAAGGAGATCTGGTCCTCGACGACTGTGTAAGACGTCAAACCCTGCAGTATTGCCCCCCTTTACCTAGAATTCGTTCCCTCCTACACATTGAACGAACTCCCGGGACCAAGGCATGCGTCTCCAGCAAGCAAGGAGGAAAAACTTGAGCAGGTCTCTCTCTCTCTCTGTCTTCTCTTTCTCGTTCTAGCTCTGTCGATCTCTATGTCTCTCTGTCTCTCTTCTCTGTCGTCCGTATGTAGAGTTGGCTTTGATAGGCTCGAATTTCTTGCGCGCACTCCGTTCTGTTTCAGTTAATCCTTGGATTCATCTCCTCCCGAAAGTTGCATAGCCTCCCGCGGCCTACCGATAGTATAACAGCAACTGCACAGACACGAGTCGCCACCGCCGTGCCCGGCACAATTTTGATTTTTCAATTTTCCACCCGATCTTGTCTGCGAAGACACTCGCGGCTGCTGTGTCGTGTGGATAGAGGCGTGCTGAGCCCATTGCCCACACATACATGGTTACCTACGTCGTTTGTTTAGTAGTATGATGGACATTGGCAAAGAACTCTTGCCTAATAGGGCGATAGAGAGTACAGGGAACAGCAAAAGGCCGCGACGTTATTACCTCGAATCACACATCCAGCACACACTCACCGCTTCCTGCATCTTGCTTGGGAGAGACTCCATTGCCCAACCAGGAAGACGCTTTCGTCCTTCCGCTTTTTTTCTTGTCCCTCCTTTCTCTTCCTTTCCTCTGAACAGCACTTCTGACTTCACCCTGCTTCCTCCCAATCCCAACTCCCAACTCCCAACCTGCTCCCAACTCCCCTGCCCGCGAAGCAATGAGAGCGGTTCCGTAATTGTATTGTACCGCTTCGGAAGAACTTGTCGGCGCAATAGCGTTGTCGGCGGTTTCGACGAGAGCGCATGAGAGCCAGCATAGCAGTCTCTCTCTCTCTCTCTCTCTCTCTCTCTCTCTCTCTCTCTCTCTCATCTTACGAGCGCGCGTGTGCTACTCCTCGTCTCCTCTCTTTTAATTTACGATTCCTCACAAGAGGTTGCTGGTTCATGGCTGTCACGGCCCCAATGGTGAGAGGCTACATTAGTCTGGACCTACACGAGAGTGCAACAGAGCTCATTATTCACTTCATAGGCAGAGAACGCCCGCAGGTGGCAAAAGTCAGTCTCGAATGAAAGACCGACAACTGGTATCGAATTGGTAAATGTTTTTGCTTCTTCTAGGTCGTATTCCGCTCACTCTATCGAACCGTGGACGGACGTGAGTATTTGTGAACTGTAAGACGGCAAGGTTAGACTATTCTAGTCATGCTTGATGGACTTTCGAAGGCTTCTATTGTCCACCGGCGGACTTGTAGACTGTACAAAAGGACTTGTCGTCACCTCATTCCCCAATCATGAAGAGGCAAGCTCAGGGACATTCATTGCTCTGGGAATGAACAACATATTGGCATGTGGTACTGCAGTAGTACGGGAAGTGTAGACCAGATGATACTCTGCTCAAATCAAACGCCAACAGCGGCATGTAAACAACAATACGTTGCTTCCGTAGTCCACCGGCATGGTGTGCAAATACGGTAATACTTTGTGCGCGTGTATTGCAGTACTTGTACGTGACATGGAGTAGCCAGTGCTCTGTAGCTTTCTAATCTAGGCCGCTGTTGTCTGCTACCTATGGTATCGGTTAGGAGAATCCCGACTACTCAAGAACGATGCTGAGCAAGCTCAGCAAGCAGCAGCATCTCGTCCTGCGAGAGCTCGAGCGAACAAGACGCCGCCTGCGGGAAGAGGTTTGGGCAAGAAAGGAAAAGACCACCAAGCACACCGCCCAACCGACGGATCCAGGAGAACCATACACTTCGTGGTCGAGCTACCAAGCACGAGGCAGCAACGTTACCAGGCCTTCAAACAACGCTCCGGCGTCACCGTCGAAATGTTCGAGCAACGAGCGGTCGGCGCAGATGACCGGTGCTAGAGCAGGACCAAATGCCAGAGACGGTGCTCGCCTGAAAAGAAGCAGGACTGAAGCCGGGATGAGCCCTGTGAATGATGGCGCGGCCGGTGCAGTCAAAGCAAGATCGATGAAGCTGGGAGGGAAGAACCGATCACCTTGCCTTCCCACGAGGATAGACATGTTGCCCGTCATGGCCTCCACTGGTGATTTACGTACATAACCCTCAAGCTGACGATAGGCAATGTCCATACAACTCATTTTTTGTGAGTAAGGCTGCTATAAATTGACTGCCTTACAGAACGGGCCCGCAATAATTAAGAAAAACGATGCTTAGAGAAAAAGGCTCAAAATGTTTACGAAAAACAAGAAAAAGGGGCCAACAAACACAGCTCAACGACGGCCACAACACAAGAAACGTCCCAGTCAGAAACATGATCGTGCGATACCCCCAAAAAATAGGGGCAGGGTGTCCGATAAGAAACGTCTCACTGCTGCTGCTGCCATCCCCACCGCCTACCTAGCTTTTGTAATGTATTGGTAGGGGCGGAGAGTGGTTATTTTCGCGGCACCCCCCACGCCCCAGCGCCGCCGCGGGTTGCGCTACCCACTGTTGCTGTACTGCTGTGCTGCGACAACCCGCGATGTTCGCGTCACCGAGCTGTCCTTTTAATGCTGCATGATGAAAGTTTGATGTGTTGTTTTCTTCGCCACAATTAAGAAATGAGAAAATAAGAAAATCAGCAGGATGCGACAGACCGAGGGGAGTGTGAAATCCGTCTTGAGAAATTCGCCGACTTCGGCGGTCCTTCTGCCCAACATAAGAAATTGGGGCTCTACCCGATTTTGAGGTTTCTCATCTCCGGACCCGTTCTGTATCGAAATGGAATATGTCCCACCATATGTTGATGAACGCGTCGTTCACCACAACCTTATACGAGCTATGCGTGTAGACCAATCTTCAACAGGCCCAGCACGCATCTGCACCTCTACCCAGGTGAGTCGGCCTTGGAAGTCGGCCTTTCGAGCTTCCCCATGGGCGACACGAGCTGGACCGTTCAGGACCGCGAGACAGGACAAGAGCCACAAGGTCAAGACAACCAACAGGCTCACATGCTCCCCGTGTTTCGCCTTCCGGAGGTTAGCAAGAATCCGGCGGGAGGGTTCGTGAGACGCCTACCTCGAGAAGAGACCGAGCGCGAGCGGGAGTGCCGCGTCAAAGAGGCGGAGGAGCTAGACAAAATGAAGACAGCGCTAGGGCTGACGGACAGAGAGCTCGAAGCCCTGGAAGCCGAGCTGTTACTCGGAAAGCACCGAGGAGGGAAGGACCCGGCAGTGTCGAGGCCGCTGAATGACTTCAGCAATCGTGGCAGTCTAGACCTAGAGAAGGATCCCCAAGAACTGCTGTACGGCCCAGACTCGGCTATTATAGCCAAGCAGCAGCTGCAGCCGCCGCCGCCGCAAGACACGTTGTCAACTTTCTCCCGCGGGGGCAAGCGAAGACGGGGCGGTGGCGGCCGGCGGTCAGCCACCAGGCCAGCACGGCACAGAAGCAGCTTGTCACCAACCGGCGACGGCACCGCTGTCTTGGACCTTCCTACTCCAAGAGTGCTACGGCAAACGCCTCACTCCACCCTCGGGGCCGTGCTCGCCGCATCAGTCGCTCTGTCGGGAAGACGCACCGGCGAAGGGAAAAAGACGGGGGCGTGGACGTCGACAGGCGACCTTGGTGGTGGAATTGCTTCGGGATCTATCCTCGGCACGACCGTGTCGACTGAGCAACTCGTCGTGGCGGCTGCAGACGCGGGCATGGTCAATCTTTTGGAGCTCCGGAGGGAGCTAGGGCGCAGCGTTGGACAGGTAAGGAATAGGGCTAGTCAGGGACAATGAGTACACAAAAGAGTGGTGAATGGGAGCAAAATGAATTATCTCAAGTGGTGTGCAACATGAAACATTTTCTGAAGTATTGCATGGACACACGGACCGAGAAATTCCGTTCGATAGGAGGGCCGTTCAATTTTCTTTTGTTCGCCACACCCCCCGCAGGTGCGGTGTCTCGCGAGGGCAGTCAAGCTTGACGTTCAAGAAGTCACGCGCCTTTGCCCGGTGCAGCACCCACGCGCGGTGCGCTTCCTCCGCCGGTGGGCGTGCGAACGGCTCGCCATACTCGCGGACGAGATTCTCGTCTCTCGCGCCGCCGCCGCCCTGGAACGCTGGCGAAGAGCGTCGGCCGCAATTGCTATGGCAGAGCGCAAGGAGGCCTACCTCCGGTACCAGGGGACTAGCAAGCTGCTGTTTTCATTGGACAAGGCGTACCTGCGCCGGCTGGCCAAAGGTTGGGTCCAGTGGGGAGCCTTCGTGGAGGCCGAGCGCGCGAGGGAGCGCCGCCTCCTGGAGTATTCGGCCGCAATTTTGATCCGGCGGGCAGTGCGAGGCTTCCAGGCGCGGCGCTTGCGCGCCTGGCTGAAGAAAGTGGCCCAAGACAAACAGCGCCACCTGGCTGCGGTCATGATCACGCGATACGCAAAGGGCAAGGTGGCGAGGGTGCGGTATGCGCGCCTCAAGGCCGGGATCGAGAGAGCAAGAGCCGGGGAGTTGCTGAGGCGCGTAGGGCGCGGGATGATTGGCAGGAGGAAGACCAAGAGGTTGAGAGAAGACAGGGCGCGCTGGAAGGTGAGTGTGTATGAGAACCACCGCGACCCGGCCCGGTCAGACCCAAAGTCTTGTTTTTCCTACGAGGCAAGGTGACAACGAACGTCGAAGCCTGCCGATCGGCAGGTTGCCCTTCTGACGGCACACGAACCTCGTGACGCTCCATCCCAACATGAATCGGCCTTAGCTAGAGGTATTATTCCTTCTCTGCTGTTTCTGTTTCTGTCCCCCTAGTTCTCCTTCACTTCCTCCCTAACCGGAACCTAACCTCGAAGAAGTTGCTTTTTTCAGCGCCCCTGCAAGTGTTAAGACAATATGCCCATCGGAAACAATCTTTTCCACAAAACCTCGACGGCACGCGCTCTCGAGTCATCCGTGTTCGTTCGATCCCAGACGATGTGGAGAACGCCATACTTCGCGGTTGAACGTACCTCAGGTATCACTGAGCCTGCAGAGACTGCACCGTGGAAGAGTCGGCCGGCGACTGTTCTTGTCCATCACCAAGGCCAGAAGGGAGCGCCTCGCGGCGACGAAGATACAAGCGATCACCCGGGGAAAGTGGGGCAGGCAACAGGCCGGAAGGTGAGCAGGCGTGCCTACGGATGAACCTTCTCGTAATCGCCTTATAATGTATCGAACAGAAGGAGTTGTTAAGTTGAAGGCGAGGATGTGTTTCCGGTCACCTTTACCGCTCTTCTCCCCAGCAGCAGCCGCTGCCTATTTCTACGTATTACCTACTCGGTTCCTCTAAGACACCGCCAGCATCTTGCGATTTTGAGCGCAAAGTAGGGCTGGAGTACTAACACTCCTTTGTGAGACCTACGACGCAATCGAGCATTCCATATAAAGCGGCGTTGTCATAATCGTTTACTCTTTCTCTGGTCAACGAAAATCGTGCCATATTGGCTGCCGGATCTTTGGCGTACCGCCAACCTCTGTTTGGTCTCCACACATGCTCGGAACAACGTGCCTGCAGCCTTGTCCGAAGGATCCGCGAGGACGCTGCGGCGCAACAGATCCAGCGTGCCGCGCGGGCATGGCTAGCTCGGCAACTCGTGCGGAGGTTGCGCGAAGAGGAGCAAAGGTTGCGTGCCATCCGCTCGATCGCGACGCTCAACATCCAGGTGGGAAGTAGACGTGTTTCTATTCGTCTCCTCTGAGTCGCCGTCAGAGGAGAACAGTGAGATTCGTTGTTTTGTCAGCGAGCACCACGCCATCAGACTTCCTTCTATTCTCTTAGAGATTTTTGTCAACGCTTTTCGGCTTTGGCTAGCTCGTCATGTACGAATAATTTGCACCTTTTGACACTGTCGAGGATTGTTGCTGCTCATTGGAAAAAGAAGAAGAGAGATGAGTATCTTGACACGACGGTTGCTCTGTTTAACAAGACTATACTGGAACAACAACAGCGCGTCGGTTGCTGATCTACCTCGGTCGTCGATGTTGATCCCGCAAAATGGTTTTTGACAGGGGCGTGGCGTCTGACCTTTCATCCACAGTGAGAAACTATGTTTCCTTTTTCAACGCCTTTGAAGGTGATGGTGAACTGCTGTGTTCAGGAGCCACGCCCCGCGGCGGAAAGACAGGCTTTGCGGTAGGCCTATGCACCAAAAACTGACATGGCTGGCCTCCTTCCAAACGTCTCCCTGTCTCATCTGGTTGTCCGTCTGTCTGCCTGCCTGTCTGTCTGTACGCGAAAACGACCATCTGTCTGTCCGCGAAAACGACCATTGTCCGGACGTCCTGCAGAGGGTTTACCGCGGACACAGGACGAGGGTGCTGCACGGGGCAAGGCTGGAGATGAGGCGGTCGCGCCTGCGAGGGGAAGACGCGGCCGCGACGAAAATTCAGGTGTGAGTAGGAAAAGGGGTGAGGGGAAAGGGAAGGACTTACCATTTTTCGTCGAAAGTGCTCCCAAAGTCGTCTCAACCGAAAGTAGAACGAGCTCGAGTTCGGGGAGTACGGCGGTAGAAAATTCTGCGATCAAAGCCAATCCTTTGTTGTCGATCAATGATCGCCTAGGGGAAGAGGTCGTGCTCGCGTTCAATGGTTTATGGTAGGACATGGCTATGGATGTCGTTAGGGCGTTGGGTATCGCAGTCATGCCTCGGCGGCAGAACCAGTGTTCGATGGAAAGCAAAGGTAGCAGACCAAAGACTATGGACTGGGTGGTTTAATGGGTCGCAATCCTTGCTTGCTCCGTCCCCTTTTCTCCCCCCGCTGGCTTAGAGCGTGCCCACCCAGCCATATATGTGTTTTCAGTGGCTAGCTTTCGTTGACGTGGTCCACGTCCTTGAAGAAACACGGTATCGCACACGCCCACATGACCGCACCCCGTCACATTTGTCCCACCGATGATATGACATGGCTGCAGGCCCTTGTGCGCGCGCACCTCTCGAAGCGAACCGTTGCCAAGTTGTCCAAGACGAGGAAGGAGAAGCGAATCAGCGACGCCCGCCTCTGGACGGAGACGTGGAGCGAGGATGCTCAGATGTGGTTCTACCACAACGCTACGACAGGCAAGAGAACGAATGCAGTACTGCTGTGGTGCTGCTCAGGCAGGGCAGCGTGCTGCGACCGCCAATAGTACAGTAGGTTGGGGCGGAGAAGGGGAGTGAGGCTACAGCAGTCTGCTGACCCAGGTCGCTGACGGCAAGCAGGTGTTCAGCCACACTCCCCGAAGAGTTTCACACACACCGAAACGATCTCCCGGCAGGGGGGGGGGGATCCTGGACATGACGAACGAGAGTCTTTGATATGAGTGCCTCCAGCGCAAAGGAAGCAGCTGTTGTCGCCTGCATCAATGGCCATTTTCTGTGCTCAAGCAGAATAGCGGCCACCCCAAAACAACCCTCGCACTGCTTATTATCTTGCAGGGGAAGCGTTGTGGGAGCCCCCCAGCACCGGCTACACGAAGCACGACGGGGCGCTGGTCCTCTCGTCGGGGGAGGTTGTAACGGATCCGGAAGAAGGTGGGTGGTTGTACATGGCAATGATGATCGTCTCGCTTGTGCATCGTGGCAGAGCGTACATCGTGGAAGCGGTGCAGATCGTGGTAGCGATGCAGATTGCGTTAGCGGTGTCTACTACGTGTAGCGATAGAACAAAGAAACGCTCGAGAAGCTCGTAGAAGTGATGCTCCGACTCAGCGTAGTCGCGAAGAAGTCCAATAGTTCCCATGTGTATGTGCTCTTGCTGTGGCCCCCTCGATGAAACGGTTGAGCAAGAGGGCGGCTGTGAAGCACGAGCACATTGTTCGCCCTGTCAGCCACACCTTGCCGCATACCCAACTAACAGAGTCATTTGACAGCGAGCCCAAACGGCTCGATGCATATACGCGCTGCCGCTTTTTTTCGGAAGCTATCTCGCGTTTTTTTTCCCTGTCCCCGGAACGTAGACAATCCGTTCCTCTTGACACTGCACTCGCCGTTGTCTCGCTCTCTTGACGATCGTCTTTGAAAAACGTGCCAGGGATGACGGAGGAAGAGCGGCTAGAGGCGAGGAAGCAATCGAGCTGCGTGGAGTGCGAGCAGAAGAGGTCGACGAGGAAGTGCGACCAGTGCGGCGATGGCTTCTGCACGAAGTGCTTCCGAAAGACGCACGCAACCGGCCGCCGAACCAAACACACCTGGACGCACGTGGGCCCCATGGAGTGCGCCGAGTGCGAGGCGGAGGTAAGGGTTGTGTGTATAGGATTTAAATCGGAACAGTTAGGGCATCGGTGTTGTAGGTGTTGTTGATTCCTCGCTGGGATGCAGAAGGTTTCGAGCCATGAGCGGAAAGCGGCAATGGACACACGGCGGACGAAACTACGAACTGTCTCTCTTGACGATTTTTAAGGCAAAACGATGCGCAAGAAGGTTCGTACAGTTCGCCTCTCCCCCCCCTGCTTTCTCAAGGGCCGAAGGACATCAACCTTTAACCGCCTCGCTTTGCTCTGCCAACCAACTGACCAGGTGGCCATAAAGTGGTGCACTGCGTGCGACGACCCATTCTGCGCACCCTGCTGGTCCGTCATCCACTCCCGCGGGAAGCGTAGCCTGCACAGCCACTGCACCATCTCCCCGGGGGGGCGCGTGTCCACCAAAGCCATCGCTCCGGACGGCACGGACGCCGGCCCGTTCACTCCGGGGGAGAGCCTCGTGGCCGAAATTACGGGCGCCGGCGCCGGCGATGGTGCACTGGCGGAGCAAGGGTACGACGCGTCCGCTGCCGCGCCTCTTTTTGAGACGAATCCGGCGCAGTCGGTGAGTGATCCGATGAGGTGCACAAGGGTAGACTTTAGCTAATTAAACTTTGCTATGGGCGCTGTCGTGTCTCTCGCCGTCTTTGAGCTGTCCCCAAGCACCGTCGCGTTTTTTTGCTGCGACTAATCGTGTTGAGCCGCTTGAGCGGGAACGTCCGTAGGTGCCACCAAGCGCGAGACAATAAGAACCTGGAACCCGAACGCACGCGGTTATTATCTACTTCACTTTCTTCTTTTAGTATTTGAGATTTCCGACGATACATGGGCGCAAAAAAACAGCAGTGCGTGGCGGCGTGCGTGCAAGGAAGCTGATAAATAGCGTTGAGACGACATCCCCACAAACATGAGGTTCGTGAAACAGCTCCAATCTCGCCGACCTTGGTCCCGGTTTCTCGCGCACCCTCGCACGCGATGATAGCAGCAGGACTGCTGGCAGGAGTTCACCGACGACGCGGGCAACCCGTACTGGTACAACTCGGCGAGCGGCTCCTCTCAGTACGAGAACCCTCTGGGCGGCGGGCCGGTGTGGACCGGGGGATCCATTACCACGAATAGCTCGACCGTCGAAAACGATGTGAATGGTGAGTCACGCAAACAGCGACACCAAGACCGGACTACTAGTAGGACAAACACTAGGAGGTGACATGATAATATTGGAGTTACGCCCGTGGGCGTTTTTTTTTTTGCCGGCGCACGAGCTTCCGTCCGCTCTCCCTCGAGACGACGGGACAGGTAGAAGTATGGCAAAGCCAAGTGCGGCAATAAAAACAGAGTAGATTATGACTGCGTGAGTCTCAGCGAAATCAATTTCTTCTGTGGCTCGTCTTTCGCACCATCCTATGTTTTCGCGAATGTATTCAGAATCTCAAGCGTGAAAAAAAAGCTTCCGTAACCAGAGCAGCAAAATACTCGGTGTGTTGTTGAAACCGGGGAGCTGAAGCCATGGTTGAAGACGATACTCGAAGTCAGCTTAAATTCTTCGCAATAGAGACGGCTTTTCATTCTTGAGGTTCGCCGGCATCCCAGCAGCGTCGAATCTCGGTTGAAAAGCACGCACGTTTGGTAGCATCGTGCTTGTTAGAGCGGGAAACATCGGCAACGAAGCTAGAGTTGGCGTATGTCTTTCAGAGGGCAGTCGGGTACGACGACAGCACCGCCTGCTCTGTGGGACGCAAACGTTTTTGCACTTCTCGCATTGTACATGAATATTGGCACCTACCGGCTTGTACCTACCGGTGAGAGGTTATCTAGAATCTTCTCGTAGGACCCGCTCCTATCATTCAAAAGCTTCGCGACACGGCGTTTCTTGCGGCTCTCTTCCTCCCAGCGTGATCGTGCATACATACGCAACCGATGTTGTCGCACTTGTCACCATAGAGCCGTGCACGAAAGAACGTAAATCGTTGAGTATTTGATGTGCATTTGTTTCGCTATTATGTAACGCCAAGCTTTCGTTTGCGTGTGTAACAACGTGGCTAGCTGCCGGTGGACAAGAGGGGGATACGCCACAGCAGGTGAGATTTTGCCGCGCTATAGGCTAGCAGCGTTTTGAAACTATTTTCCTAGCAAGAGCAGTTGATCCTGTCCCTTCGGACGGGCAGGCGACGAAACCGTCACGGCAAGCGCGGTCGCGTCCGAGGCTTTGCTTGTTCATTAGGACGCAGGATAGTTTTTTCAGACCAGGTCTAGTTTACGTTGGAGGAAACGCAAGCACATGCTGCAAATATGTCATCGCTTCAACAGAGGTGCCTTCTTCCAAGGTCACCTGGCCCATGCTTAACACCGTAAAATTGGGGGGAAACGTAACGAACGGCTGTAGATGCAGCAAGAAGTAGTCCCACACAGAAACTGCGGCCGGTCGTGAGAACGCCTTCTTTCTCGTACTCCTACATGCGCCGCGTGATTAACATGTCTTTTTTCGGTTGTCGTTCCACCCCGCGCTGCGAGCAACCCATGTACGAGGCCCTGCGACGTGGACCGTCCCACCGAGCCGTGTGCACCACAGACACTGGAGAGCTACCACGTTCCGTGCTCGTCGACTAACCCCTTCGTTCTCTCGTATCCAGGCGGAGAATAGTGGCTACTCCGACCCCGGTTCGAGAGCCATGGTGACCGCGCACGGGTCGGTGGGGGAATGGAGCGAGCATGCGGACGACGAAGGGCATGTGTACTACTACAACGCCGTTACGGGCGAGAGTCAGTACGAGTCCCCGTACTAGCATTTTTCAGCGTCACCACAACTGCAATGGGAGGTTTGTCGATCCCCTGGGGGGCTGGACTGTCGTCACGCGTGCCGGGAAGATCCAGTTTGCATGCGTGGCTGGTATTGGTGACCGAATTGTTTCTGACAAGATTCGGCGCTTGAAAAATATGGTAGTACCAGCTTCCAGTTCTTAAGGTGTGGTGCTGTACGAGGCGGTCGTGTGTACCAGGCGTGAGGCAATCGCGAATACGTCAGGGTGCACATGCAACAATGCACGCGTGGATCATGCGGTGCGTACACAGCCCACTCGCCCGCACACATAGTCCAAGCTATTTCGAAAATTGCTGTCGGAGGGATACACCAGCTGGTGTGATATTGGTGGGTTGTCCGGCCGACTAGAACCACCCTCCTCTCATGTGGCGCCGCCGAAGATCGGAGCATGATGTCGCCCGTGGCACAGCAACATTGTGGGGGTGTGTGGACACACAAAGCAGGCTTGCTTTGATATGTTTGTCGAAACGGCGCGATGCCTATTGGTTCACTTTCGTACACCCCCGCGCGTCACCGCGTTCTTTTGACGCAAATCATTCACCTATGCAGTATTTACATATCAACATATCCACCACCCGACCCTTCGGAAAAAATAAACCCGGCTACGCTTCATGGTGTCCTGCATCCGAATAGGATATGCGTTCTCCAAGAAAACAATGGAAAGCAGCGTCAAACGTTCGAGCAGTACAGATAGCACATAGATGCGTCTATGATTTAGAAAATAACTAAAACTGCATCAGAAACGTACCACGACAACGTCGACACGTCGAGAAAAATAACAGTCGAACACCCTCCCTCCTCTAAAAAATGCAGAGAGTAAAACGGGACGAATCATACCGAAAACGCCAACCCGCTACTACTTGTTTTCTCGCCATTTCCTGACGAAACGGCAGCCGCAGAAAGAATATTAGCTTAGCCTCGAGGTTCTTACAATCGCGTGACCGACTTGAATAACGTAAACTTCGCCTTGAGTGCACTATGCGAAGTCTCTCTTGCTTGTCACTTAACCGCCCCCATCAACCTATTGTTTCTACACTCATTCTTTGCATGTTCATCCGTTGACAACTACTACTCTAAAACGCGGGGGAATATCCTACAACTAAACAGCCAGATGGATCAATTCACCGAATTCATAGAACATGGTTCGCATTTATTTACAAGTGACAAATATCGAGAGTGAAAGGCATGCCTGCATCACGACATGGTGCGAATGCTTAAAAACGTGGGGGGCGCACGAATGTACCTACCCGTAAGCGTCACACAATGACGAGCGAAACCTCTAGCGCTCTCTTGGAAAACTAAAAACATTCAAGCCCGGACCGAAAATAAATCTACTTTTGGTGTGTAAAGCGTGGACAATAGTATTCCGATCCCATGCCTGGCGATTGCTTCGCGGGCACAGTCACGAGGCCAAAAAAAACATAGAAAGTCCTAAAAATCTGAGTACCGTGCTGTACATTGGTACATAGAGGTGCCCAACCCGCCCCCTGGAAGTTGCCTCGAATATTTACATGATGTTAAATCAGTGTCCGCCCCCCCCGGAAGATGCCTCGAATATTTACATGATGATGTCAAATAAGTGTTGACGGGCAATACACTTACTTTTTCGCCAAGGACAGAAAAAAATAAAACAGGAAACGACTTTGAACATGGTGGGAAAGGTCCTTATGGCCTCCCGCTGTATGCACAACAAGCGTTCACGAGGAATCATCGCTAAGCTCGGTGTTTTGTTCACCCCCTTTCGATGATCTCTACCGACAACCACGCGATCAACCGTGTGCAGGCTCCCAGGGGGGATGCACCTACTAGGCGGTGCATCGAGGTTCAAGAAAGGAGGGGGTTAGGGTTTACCAAATGAAGTGATCACCTTTCGAACCGCTTTGCCGCGAGCTGTGTCCCTGATGGGTTGAAGTGCACGAGTCGCTTTGTCAGCAACATACAGTGCTGCCACTGCTTGGGCGGCAGTGAAAAGCGTGTCTACCTTTCCATAGGTCGGCCCTCCCATGGGTGCGTGTAGCGGCCCTCCCATCGGTGCGTGTGGCGCCGGCAACCCCATCTGTGGAGGCGCAGGTCCCATAGGTGCGAGATGCGTCGGATAGCTCATCATCGGGTTGGGGTAGGAACCCGGAAGTTGGTACGTAGCCTGTCCGGTGTGCGTATTTATCCTGAGCGAAACGAAGAAAGAACCAAGGGTGGGCAGGGGACGGGAGTGGGGAAATACGATTGACTCGGTGCAGTAGACGTGCTCGATCATCTTGAACTCTGCGGTGGGAAAGATTGATTGAGAGCTCCGCTCGTACGTGTAATTCACACTACAATCTCAGAGAAGGAACATGGGCTCGCGTCCCTCAATGGAAATATCGCCAATAACAAGTGTTGAATTTGGTTCACATGAAACACTCAAGAATGGTTCACTGCTGCAAGGCATGGCTCGCTTTTTCGGCGGCCTAGAAAACACAAGACGCGGACGAATAATATTGTGTCTCTCGCTATTAGTGTGTATCTCGTTCCATAGGTTCTAATGGCCAAGATGGCCAAGGGAATGGCCTAATCTGCGCAGGTACTCACCAGTATAGAAAGCCGTTCTGATCGATAGCCTGTTGCCACACGTTCGTTGGGTCGTATGCATAGCTACTCATCGTCGAGGTCCGGGCACGCCCTGCTCGAGGCAACATTCGATTTCCCCGCGGCAGCCGGCAGCACGCGAGAGGGTATTACGATGGTGGTCTGGTGGTGTACGCACATCGATGGGCAACCATACAGCAACCTGCAACAGATGACTTATGAAACATCTCACAACAGCAGGGTGTTAAATGCAGGCACCAATTCTGACCGACAAGTTTAGTTGACGTTTTACAAAAAGAACAGAGGTCCTCGACACGAAGAGCACGTTGCCCTGTTGAACAAAGGACGTGCGTCTCCAAAACTAAGAACTTCCGGAGATGGTATCAAATCAATGCACCCGAGGAACGTTCCCATGTCCATGATGGCACGCTCCGCCTGGAAACTCCAAGAACTCATCACCTGCTTCTGACCGACAAGTTTAGTTGACGTTTTACAAAAAGAACAGAGGTCCTCGACACGAAGAGCACGTTGCCCTGTTGAACAAAGGACGTGCGTCTCCAAAACTAAGAACTTCCGGAGATGGTATCAAATCAATGCACCCGAGGAACGTTCCCATGTCCATGATGGCACGCTCCGCCTGGAAACTCCAAGAACTCATCACCTGCTTCTGACCGACAAGTTTAGTTGACGTTTTACAAAAAGAACAGAGGTCCTCGACACGAAGAGCACGTTGCCCTGTTGAACAAAGGACGTGCGTCTCCAAAACTAAGAACTTCCGGAGATGGTATCAAATCAATGCACCCGAGGAACGTTCCCATGTCCATGATGGCACGCTCCGCCTGGAAACTCCAAGAACTCCTCACCTACTGCTGCAGCCTGACAGCAGCCTGACATACCGATAAGATCAGCCACCCTCGGTAAAACCTCGCTACATGCACATATAGTCTATACGCATCACGACAGGAAGCGCGCCTCCGCTGGGTCGGTTGAAATACTCCCCGAAGTGATGTTTGATGTTGACATCGGAGGTAACGGTTCCAAACAGCAGGAGACTACTGCTGTGCTATGCATGCATGCAATGTTGGCGTCCGACGAAAGTGTTGAGGGTAAGCCCTTGGCTGCAGATGATGGACGACGGCAAACCTAGAACAAACTCGGAAAAGGGGACGGTCTTGACACCTTGATAGCAAAGACAGATACAGGCCAAGACCAACGCCGCGACGGTACAGATACAGCAGCAGTAGATAGGCGAAGCAAGCATGCACAAAGAGCGTCCCCTACAGACACTCACAAGAAATAAAGTGTGTGTGATATTTTGGGGATGGAGCGGGAGGCACGACACAGGGAACCACGTACAAACACACATCATCGAGCTGCTGCTCCCCCGCGCACGCTTCATTGCTCACCTTCTTTCTGTTGTGTGTTTGCACGTAGCCCACAACTCCTCGTGTAATGTATTCTTCTTGATTGATCTCCTCGTGGTGGAGACAACAGTCTTCAAGAAAAAGGTCCACGATCTGTAGTGGCTGGCACGGTCTAGACTTCAGAAACGGTTATTAACTGGATGAAGAAGGCTTGGCCCACGGACTGGCTCTCTTAAACGACTTGGCGGTTGGCGTGCGACTGCGGGAACAATCTTCAACTTGGGAGTTGTAGAGGGTTTGGCGACAAGGAGGGGCGAAAGACTTCGCGAGATCGGGGGCTGTACAATGTAGGGGGTGAGGGCGTTGTTTTGCCACGGCCCAGGCCACTGCAGTGAGGAGAAATCCCCGGATCGTTACCCTACTTTCGTTTTATTGCGTCATACAAGGGTCTGACACGCGAGGAACGATCTTCGTACGAACATGTACCCCGATTATTCTTTGCATGCCAAAAAGATGCGAAAGTTGTTGTGGCCCGCCAGCATTTAGGAGCGTGGGTGTTCTGAAGAACTCAGATGACGCGGTTATGGAAGTGTGTATGCATCTCCTTTCACGTTCGCATAATCTTTTTTCAGAGTCTGCTTATGTAGATGGCAAAGGTGTCGGTCGGGATGCCTAGGGAATCGGGGTATCCAGCCTGGAACGCTGTAACTGCGCGAATCTGCTGTAACGCACGCGGAGGAATCGCTGCCTGTCTGTCTGGACCGTGAGTCCGCGGAATGCTTACCACAAACTTCCTAGACATGCACATAGTCTACATGAAATACCATCCACGGACCCCCCCTCTGCTCGTTTTTCCAGGTCAGACAGCAAAATTCTGACTTGACGTGCCTTTCCACCCTGGCTCTTAACCCTGCAGCAAGACAACGATGGCTTCTTCTCGTTTCGGCCTCCTGTGCCTCGGAGCTTGTATTTTATCCGGAACCCAAGCTTTTGGCGTGCTCCAGAGCAGAGGAATCGTAACATCAAGTTTTGCTCCTGCCAGATCTCTTGCTTCTCCAACAAGGGGTGAGTGCGTCGATGCGTGACCCCGACCCATGCCCAGTTGCCCTTTCCCCTCTGGTAGCCCAACTCCGCCCTGCCTGGCGGAGCGTTCGTCAATAGAACCTGCTGTGTTGCATCGCAGATGCGGGCCGTCGCGGCGTTGGGTGCTGGTTTGTCTTTGAAACGCCACGTCTTGGACACACTGAGACGCATCGTATCATGTTGTGAAGGAACATCTGACCCAGAGAAACGCCATGGTAGCGACCTGTGCTGCCGTGAGCTCCGTCAAGGCCATGCTGTGTACCCCCCCCCCCCCCCCCCCCC